TTCTCTACACTTACGTACTATTTTACAGTCGAAACGGAACTACGGGAAACCAATGCGTGGAGCGAGGTCGCCCACCACCATTATCAAAGAAGCTATGGCGCGGCAGAGCAAGAGTGGGTGGAATGACATCCGCTCAGCTCTATCCACCACGGTTCGGCGCGCTAGCTATTAAATCGGCTCGTTAAACTCAAATCTCACTAACTTCTTACGTGCTGGTAAAGTGCGTGGATTTTGCGCAGTGCATGCAGCCGATGTTTTGAGTAGCAGCCGACCCCGGCTGTCGAAGTCCTGACTTTTGGGCTGACAAGAGTTTTTATGTGAGTTCCCCAAGCCTGCTGAGTCTGATTAATCTTCCTCTTACTAATCCCGCCCAGAATGAAGTCTTTCCTCGCCAACGAGCTTGCGAAAGCACGCACTGGTTACGAAAAGCAGCTGCTTGTAGCTGTTGTCGCCGAGGGCTATCTCGAAGCAGCCAGCGAGCTGTCTAAGGACAATGGAAAGGCCCTGCGTAAGTCTCCCGCGCGCGCAACTCTGTTCAAGGCTGAGCTATCAGTTTCGTTCCCCTTTTCCAGACGCCCTGTGTGAAGGTTTGGATCTTCCTTCAGACTGCCTTAGGCTAATTGTGCAAAAGATTCAAGTTTCTACAAGCACCAAGTTTGAAGTAATTCTCGACTGCGCTTGAAGAGAAATCCCCAGTGCTCTACTCCTCGAGCCACCCTGGGATAAGATCCTCGTCCAATGGAAACAAACCCAGAGAAACCCTCTCCCTCAGATCCTTTTCCGCTTCGTCATACACCCGCACCTTGCTGTCAAGATACTCTGCCAAATATGAGTGCTCCCATATTTTCTTGCTCTTCGGGGCCGTGAACCGAATAGGTTCCAATAGCGGGAGCACCTGCGCGATCATCGCACCTCTAGTCCAAATAAACTTGTAAAGAGAAATTGTTGGCTTATACGTGCGCTGCGTCCGAATTTGTGCGATACCGGGGGCTAAATCTCCGCCAGGAAGACCAGGCACTGGTGCGTTCGTTTCTTCACACAAAACTGCAAGCTTATCGCTAGAGCTGGCCATCACCGATAGCCTTTCGTGACCTTTCGTACACTAGTACGCATGGTCAGACGATGGACGAAAGAGCGGTTCCAGCAGCATAACGCAGGTATACGAGAACAGGGATGTCCAAGTTGATATCAGCTCGTTTGACTTCGTGCAGATGTAGATACCGCTTTTACAACGCGCGTTGCTAACATCGACTGAACGCCTTTACTTGGCCACGTCGGTGAAACGCCTCCCTGCCTCCTCGAAGTTCACCACATTCCAGATGGCATTCAAGTACTGTGGGCCACGATAAATATCAACTACTCAACAGAGATAGCGAGATAGAACACTTACATCTGGCTTGACATTCTTATATTGGAGGTAGAACGCCTGGACATGGCAATTCGTATGGTCGAACGTTAGCGGCATGTGATATGAAGAGGGAGAGGCTAGCGGCTTACGTGCTCCCAGATGTCGATACCGATAATGGGTGTGTGAGCTGCCGAAAAAACAGTGAATTGGTATCTCTATTTTAACGTGAGAAAGGCGCGTACAGAGAAGCGGGTCTTGGTTGGCAGTGGTCACAATCTCGAGCTTGTTCGTCGCAGAGTTATACCCCTACAACATGTTAGCAACTTAACACATTACCAAAGGCAGAAATGGGACATACGAGCCAGCCCCAGCCGGACCCTTGGATGGCAGCTGTCTTAGTGTTGAATTCCTTCTTGAAGTTCTCAACGGAGCCAAAGTCGCGCACGATGGCCTCTTTGAGGGGGCCTTCGCGGAGCTTGCCTCCTCCTTCGGAAGTTGGCGCCAGGTTCTTCCAGAACAAGGAGTGGTTGATGTGACCTACGATAAAAAAAAAACGCGCGAGTGAGTACACTGTGTGATTTACGCGTGAGAAAGACGTACCACCGCCGTTGAATTTGAGGGCGGCTTGCAAAGCGATTCGTTCCTTGACGCTTGGCGCCTTTGCAAGAGACTCCTCAGCAGTGTTGAGACCGGTAACGTACGTCTGGTGGTGCTTCGAGTGGTGAAGCTTCATGATCTCCCCAGAAATATGGGGCTCAAGCGCCTGGAAACCCGCGAGATGGAGAGCGTCAAGATAGGGGTAGGGTGATAGCAGTTGAAGAGAGAAAGAAGTGATATTACCTCGTAGGCGTAAGGTAAATCGGGGAGCGTGTGAAGGGAAGCAGTCGCGAATGCTGGCTTTGCGAAAGCGCGTGCAAGAGTTGGACGGGCAGCGTTACGAATTAAAGAGAGCATTTTTGATCCGGCGGAATGGGCGATGGTGGTAGGAGGAAGAAAGAGAATAGGGCCACAAGGCTCGAACTTATGGTCGCGTTGAGGCTTCGGAGCTGCGTGTTTATCGCAATATGACGAGGAGGTGACGATATACTGACAAAGCCATGACTTTCCTGGCACGTGCACGTTTACGCGTCAACAAAGCCTCCACCTTCGCATTTGGGAATACGCTCGACTTATGGCCGCTCGGCATATGTGATTGGTTTTCGTTAGGCTTGGCTGTAGCCTGTCAGGCCATGCGGCTATAGCTTCACGCAAACCACTATGAGCCATGGAGTCGATGGAAGTCGAGCAAGTCTGGTATCCAAACGGAGATGTTTAGATACTCTCTGTGCGTTTATTCGGAAGCGAGCGCTGTCATTCAAAGTATTATTTGGTGCTCATTGCTCACCCCAACTTTCTTCATGGCAGACCACTCAAACGTCGAGAGCACCGGTAGCCAGTTTGCTCATCCTCAAGCGTCGCTCAGAGTCTCGACAGTCCCAGCATCTCCTCGCAGTGGATCCATCCCCGAATCAGCAGGTTCTGCGCCTACCGTATCTGATACGGGAACAGTGCGAATATCCGCGTCTAGCCGTACCGCTCTTATCGCACCACCTAGAGGGGGCGAGATACTTGATCAGTATTCCAGCCTGAACCGCAGTCCCATTTCCCAACGAACCCCAGCTTCCGAAGGCCAGGGGCACACAACCATGACCGAGGATCGTACGCAGCTGCGGCGTAATATTACTGGCAATAGTACGCCTTTTCCAGACGGCCCTGCTGAGAATGATCTAAGTAGTATGGACGAGAAATCTCTCCGTCGAGGGGACTTTGGGAGCGAAAATGAACGCCCGCTGCCCAAAGTATACACTTCTGACCCTTCCCCAGACCTTTCTCTTACCGCTTCCACCCCGATGCTTTAGATTCCTACCAAGAGTGTCGAGGAACGGCTGCTACCAACCCTGGAGGTCGCTCGAAATGAACGAACAAAAGCTCAGCGGAAAGGTACGCGCATCCAACTAGCGTTCAGATTGTATGTGAAGATGAGCTGGTTGCTGAAGAGAGAATGCTGGGGTAGCAATGCTCACAGGATGGGCCCTCAACATCGCAATTGGCTTGCAGGTTGTCATTGGGTCCCTTATCACGGGCCTTTCAGCAGTAACTTCAGGACGTAGCGTAAGTCCACGAGCATGCCTGCGAATGTCCCCACTGACGTCGGTTCCAATCCGCAGACTTCCATAATGGTCTCCGTCCTCGGCGCACTATCGACGATGGTCGCATCCTTTCTCGCGCGCGCACGGGGTACCAATGAACCAGAACGCTCGAAAGCGCACGGAAACACCTTGCAAGAGTTTGTACGCGAGGTTGAAGCTTTCGTGCTGGATTTCGGGAACGAGCTCGGCTCCGAATTTGATCCGAAGGTCAGAGAGTTCAGGGAGCGATTTGAGGAACTGCAAGGCAGTGCTCAGAAGTAAGTACACGTTCCCATGCTTTTAGAGCGCACTGAATTGAAGGGGCTTCATTGCGCATCCACTGACAGGAGCGAAAGGACGGGGGGTTCAGTATGAACGAACAAGCTGTGAGGCGGCATACGAATATCATATATCACGACAGAAACGTACCTAATTCTTAGATATCTAATGGCACACAAGTTCCTACCTTACCCTTTGTCACGGTCTGGCTTAGCGTATCCAAGACCCGACACGGGGGTATAATACGCGCAGGGGGTCTGGTGTCAAACCCAGTGGTAAGCAGACATTGTTTATGAATTTCTAAGCGTTGGCTCCAGTGGGCATACACGAGGGAACGGCGTTGCCTCAGGGTGGTGTCGACATTTACCACTTGAGCTCTACTTTCCAAAGCTACCAAATACCTCCCGATATACGTGGGCCGTGCTTTATCCTCGTTGCTTGCCCATCTGGTGCGAAATGCGCGATGGCGTGCCTCAAACACCTGAACAGAGGCGCATGGGAAGCAGTTCCACTGCATCGGCGTCACGCATAAAAATCGAGTATCCTATCACGCCAAATTCATAGTTTTTTTTATGGCAGTGTCTACGCCATTTCGAATCGTACTAATCCTAGGCGTATGGATGCCTGTGCATGCGACAGCCCAACCCCGTAGCCTTCCTCTGCCTAAACCCGGCAGGAAGGCTTTTTGACAAGTGAATATTCCACCCACCCTCTGATATCGTGCTTACATGTATTTACTGGACACTCGGCGGTGCACCATAGGCGCTCAAGCACCCCAATTGACTCCTCTAACTCCGAAATTTGAATACAGTAGTGCCCGAGATTTTGCACGACTGCGGTGGGTCATCACAGACAAGCATATTGTGCATTGGAACCATGCGCAGAATTGATATGCCTGGTTTGCACGCTCACCCCTAAAACTTTGCCCTTCCAAGAAGAAAATTATCTGAGCATTTGCGAGCTTGGGAGACGTCACCGTTTTCTTGAAATTATCTTTTTGGGAATTTCTTGCATGATTCTCGGCTTACATAATTACGGGCTGTGCTTACTGTGGTACTTGACTCTATGGCAAGCTTGATGCCGGAAGCAACTGGCGCAACTCAACGCCAGCGGCCCAGCGCGAATGTGCGTAAATACGACCGATCATCAGCATCTAAGCCAAAATTACTTTGCCGATGTCAGTTGCAATCAAAAAGAAACCAATTAGCCCACCGCGAGGGTCGAACTCGCAGCCTTCAGATTACGTAAGCACGGCCCTAAAGGACTTAATTCCGTAAAAGTCTGACGCTCTAGCCGATTGAGCTAGGCGGGCCTTTGAGCGCCTAACTATTTTACGTATTTTGCTTCCAGAGCTCAACGCTCCTTTCAACCAACAAGATGTTGTGTCTAGATACTGATGTGTAGGAGAATTACATATGGGTATTGTCGTCAGTGGGCTCAGAGTCGCGGTACGTGAACAATGGGAAGAGAGAAATATGCTAGAGAAAGTGAGATTAGGAAGGGCCAAGGAGAGTGGATGGTAAATATTTATACAAAGAATCAACAAGATCTAGGGGAGAGTCGTAAGATTCGGAAAGAGCCAATGCCGCGCTCGCAAAAGTACACCTCGTCTCCGTTGCGGGCGAGGAAGATTATCTCTTGATCGGGTGCGAACTCGTCTTCGCTCTCGTAGGATGTACTTCGTTCTTCGCGCCGTGTGGGAGCCTTGACAAGGTTAGGAGTGGCGTCATTGCGGCTGGCGTTCGTAGGGTTGGACGATGGTCTGGAGTTGGCATCCGACACGGACGAGCCGATACGCCAGAGGAATGTGCTGCGCCTGTTCACAGCGGACGAAGCGGGATGGAACTGCGGAAACGCGAGTCGCGATGCGTCTGCGGGGGCGAGCATCGCGTCCCCCACGTCTGCCGCTTCGAAGCCGCCTTGCCTCAGCGCTACCAAAACCGCGCGGTTGTTGACATCGAATGCCTCGAGCCGCTTGACGTCGCCCAGCTTCGAGGTGGAGGGAGATCCGGCGTCGGCCTCATCCGCGTTCCATAGCACCCGACTCTTCAGAACAGATTTTCCGCGGGCGTCAACTATAGTCGTGCTGTGCCCTCCACGAGTCGAGAAGAACAGCGCCGGCGGGCCGTAGTGCTTTGGTTGCGTCAAGAGCGAGATGGGCGAGAGCAGAACCTTGGGATCGTGCGGGAGTTCAGCCATGGCTTGACTGTGCGGTGGATGAAGCGGATTGGGAGAAGCGGCTCGGCTGGCGCCAGCAGTGCCGGGAGCCAACTCGGGCTGGAACGGGGAAGTGGCATCCCTACTCTGGGCGCAAAGGTCTTTCAAGAGAGTATACTCGGTTTCGAAATCTCTCCGAACCGGTAGGTCAAGAGGTAAAAACCCATCGCGGAACCAAGAATGCATTAGTGACCACTTCCAGGGGCCTTGATAAATCATAGATGTCAGGCAAGACGGTCACGAAAATGAGTAACAACAGCATACCTTGAATCACGCCCTTTGGATCCTTGTAGAACCATTTGCAGTTGGCGGTGCTCGTATTGGACGACGCGGGAATAGGAAGCTCAGGTGGGTGGATAGGCGGTGGTGCCGCCAACGGATCGCCCGCCTCCGGCTCGTACTCCTTCCTGTACTCCGCATATGAGGCATACGTCGGGGGGATAACATAATCGTCTGCCACAGTCGCGAGTGGGAAACTAGGTACGAAGGAGAGCTGCTGGAACGTCGTATATGGTCCCAGCTGCGCGGCTGCAACAGCAGCCATCTCCTCGGATAGAGCGAGAGTCCCTGCCAGCGTAGCGTCTCCCGCCGCGCCCTCGCCTCTCAGCGCAGGCGAAGGCGAGTTCTCATGGGAGGTCGCTCCCGATCTACCCCGCACCTGCCCCGCCACGGACCGGCGTCTCTCCTGCCTCGTGGAGTTGGATCTGCGCGCTCCGGGCGATCGTTCCGGGGAAGTGTCCCTACCGCCGCCCGTGGTGATCACCGTTGTGATGACATGCGAGATGTCTTCCCCGATAGCGGGGGCCGGATCGACAGGATCGTCCTCGCTGCGCAGCTCTCTTGCCCGCCTCCGTGCCGCCCGACGCTCGGCCCTCCCGATCCGCACTTCCCTCACACGCACAGTCGCGGGCTCCAGCCCAAAGATGTTGTGACCAAAGACGAGGAAGATCTCGACGAGATCGTCGCCTTGTAGCTGGAGTTCCAGGTTGCGTGGAGAGTCTGGCAAGATGAACGTGCGCGATAGCCCCAAAGCCGTCCGGTAGGTCCCGGCGAAAAGCTCTACCTTCTCACCATTGTCACCGCACAGAATAGCAAGGAAACTAACATTTGAGAAAAAAGTCAATGCACGGAGACAGGAGTAACTAAAGAAATGCGGCCAACCTCTTCTTGGGCGTTTCCACCGACTTGATCATCAAGCTATTCTTCGTTCCTGGCAACTTCACATACTCCAATTTCGGCGGAGGAGAATTCAGCACCGATTGGGAATGACTGGGACCATGGGGCGCAACACCAGCGATACCGCCCAAAATCTTCCTCCCCTTGTCCTCCTTGTTCTCCTCACCCGCACGACGACTTTCGCTCCCGGACCGCGAGTGGAATGCGGACGTGAGTATACGTGGTAGAAAGCGGCTTGCCGGACGAGGCATCGCTGGAACTGGGGACGCGTTCTCCTGGACAGATGTCAAAGGCGACGGACTGGAAGAAGGGCGGCGAAGACGCGCGATACCGCCGGGACGCATAGTTGGGCCAGCGTCGAGCGGTAAATGAGGATTCGACTGCGAAGCCAGGGGCTCGGAGGGCAGAATATCAACTGGCGGAGCGGGCGGTAGGAATGGGGGAGAACCAGGACTCGTCGCCGATGTCCCATTACTGAATATCCCATCCAATATGGACCACCGGCGTTGCTTGCGCCTCGCGTCTGCGGACATCCCGGAGGCGCCGTTCCTCGTATCAGCACGCCCCAAAGAGCGAACAAAAGCTGACGAGGGATCATCCCGTGTCTGCGCGTCAATCATTTCGTAGCCTTCGCTGATCGGCGGGGGATGCGACATGCTACGACGTCGATTATCGGCGCTCGGTCTGGACGGGATCAAACTGCGAGGAAGGGGTGGAGGGGACATGGGCAAGCGGCTCTCCGCAAGAGCCTGCTCGAACGAAATCATCTCGTCAGTAGGTGATTCGTGACCCTGCGAAGTAGGATGCTGTGTTGAGCGGGAGAGTGTCTGGCAAAGGGCTTCGAGTGTCGGGGCAGTCGGAGATACGCTCTCTTCTGGCACAACGCTGGGAAAGAGCGCCGCTGGGCTGAGGTTTGCGGGCCGCTGACGACGATTGATGACCGGGACGTGCGCGGCAGAAGGCGATCGCGCCAAGGTCGGCGATTGCGGCGACACGCCAAACTCCTCCATGTCTGCCTGAATCGACGACGAACGCAGAGGCTGGAGCGCGGACGCAGCTGCTGCGGCAGCCATGGGCGATGTCCTCTCTTCCAACGCGGCGCTACCAGAAGGCCCGGCTGCGATTAACACGTCATCGTCGCTCCCTGCCCAATCTCCCTTCTCACCCGCCTCTCGCCCGTGGATTACATTGATGGGCTTTCCCATGGCCATGGAAACGCTACTCGCCCTAGCGCGGAGACTTCGGGAGACTGTGAGGGCAGACACAGTAGGAATAGGCCGAGGTCGCGTTGGTGGGGGCGGCGAAAGAGTAGCGTAGGTCGGAGGAGGAGTTACAGGATTTACATGGATCGGCTGAGGGGGTGGATCGGGTATTGGAGGGAGCGTGACATTAAATATTGTCCCATTTACAGCCTTTCCTTTGCCCTTGACATCCAGTTCTGTAGCCCCACGAGTACTCGGCGCCGACTTCCTCTTCATCTGCTTCCTCTGTCTTTCCAGTTCCCTTTGGATCTCGACTTCCATCCTCCATTCGACCGCACGCTTGACCTCCTCAAGGGCGTAAACCCTTACGCCATCTCGACGACCAGCGATAGCAACCATCACACCGCGCTCCTCCATGACTAAGACGCTCTTGAAGGGTACTCGCCGTACTAGCGCATACGGATGCATGACAGGCGGAGAGACGAGTGGTAGAACATCAAGCCCTTGCGCGTGACACAACAAGAGATAGTGCGGGTGGAGGAATGTGCCCTGAGTAGGGGGTGTTGTGAAGTGAGAGCAGCTAGAGCCTGCAGAAAGGTCTTCAAGGGACAACCCAAGCTCGGCTAAAGTCGGAGCAGGGAGGGAAGGTGGAGGTAGAACTGGCGGTATTACAGCGGGGGTCGTAGTAGAAGTCGATGGGTATACAGGGGTGGGCGTTGTACGACTGCTGTTCGGTTCACGGTTTAGATGCAAGAGTTGGGAAAAGAACCCGGAAAGGCGATTGGCATGAGACTGCAGCAACGCGGGGCAAAATTAGAGAGGCAGGATATATTTAGAGTGGCGGATTGGAAACTTACATCCAGTGCAAGAGACCTTCTCCTGATCCGTGACCGTCGGCCTCGACCCTCCAATGGCGGGGTAGGACTGGGCGTTTCACTTCTAGAGCCATGTGCTCTCGGGAGCGACAAGGAGCTTCTATCACCGGCTTCAAGTGGGGTATGCGGAGGGCTGTGAATAGGCATGGGGCTCGGCGGGGGACTGAGCGATGGACTGGGTGGTGGTAGACTAGGTCCAGAAGAAGAGGCAGTAATGCGTACTTCTGGCAGTGGACTTGGGTGGTTGTTGTCAGAAACAACGATATGGGTGATATGGTGCTCCTCGTCCGCATCCTTGTCATCTACCTCGCTGTCGACTGCGGCGATGTACTGGGCTCCACTTGATGATGCGCGGCCTTGCGTGGCCTCGTGGTAGAGCTCTAGCTCTTCGATATCCGTATCCAAGCCAAGGTATGCAGATGGTGAGAACGTGCCGGGCATAGAGCTCAAGGCGCCGCTGGCAGGCATGGTGGGCGACACTAGCAAGTAGTCCAGAGTGGTGAATGAGCGCAACCGACAAGTTTTGAGCCGAGTCGAGTCGTGCCGAGTAGAATTATTTGTGGGAAGCAAGAAGACACTCCCGGGCGGGCGAGATGGGCGTCGAGCAACAGGTGTCAGGGCCGCCAGCCTCGCCTGCGACAATTAATCCGAGTCCGACTCGTCGCGGGGGATGGACTGTGCGTGGCTTAAAGCAGGCCAGATTTGCTTCCGAAACGCGCTCTTGTTTGATCTGGATCAGCTAAAACCCCAAACACGTGATCGTGTTTCGCTGCTTTTTCCATTTCGGGCCATAAAAGGACTCGGATACCCTAGGCTGCTAGGCAAGATACGGCCAGAGTGCC